TAGGACCTCAACCACTGAAGGACCATGGCAAATGGGTTAAGTTATTAACTTTTCTCCAGATGGGTAGGCTAAGTTATTTACAAATCAAAGCATCAGCCTCAAGAGGGAAGATTTCATGAAGCGTTTTCTGAGAGCACCTGACATGTATTCCCTTTACACACTGGAACGACTAGCCCAGGGGTATAACGTCTAGCCCAGGGGTTTTCAATCGGTGGTACGCAAGAGAAAAATAGGTGGTACGCAAAGAAGCAAATTATTTTTAACTATTAAATTCAAACACTAAAATCCCAACATCCTGATTGACTTTTTTCTCTAACACTCGTAAATTTACGCGACCTGAGCTTTGTTCAAGAGTAGTGGTGGTAATAGTACTTTGTAGTGGTTGTACTAAAGGTTTTCGATTTTTGTTTAGATGGTACGCGTTAGTCAAAAGGTTGAAAACCCATTCAGTAGCACCGACAGCAAACTCCAAGACACACTAGTAATATTTAATGGTCTTTTGTGTCTTGGCCATAGCTGGATCCCCTTTTAAACATTGCTGTTTACTGGTCGTTTATCAAATGGAGAAGTTGATTGAGAAGTTATGTTTGGAAATAACTTTAATAAATTAAACTATTCCCAGTTTATACAAACCAAATTGTAAACATATAATAATTAAATATCCATACATGAACATCTAATAACAATCTATAACATAGTTAAGTTAAAAATAAGTATAAAAACAGTTATAGGTCAGCTACATTCTAACGACCGAATTCTATGGACAATTCCAAAGCGTGACGCCAATGCAGTGCAACGAATAGATGTAAATTAATTACGAGAGGCGTGAAAGTAAACAACTGCTATATGTTAAGAGACATTTGAGGAACATATGTCATTGCTGAAAATACCCATAATAATACAAAATATAAATTCAAAGATTCAGTATTTGGGAACGGAGTGTTGTTTAATTAGGGCATTATTCTCAAAGGCTCTCTGCCTACAGCAAGAAATATTTTCTTGGAGGATTTTCGAAGAAAAATTAATTTTTTATCATCATTACGTATGGCAAAAACAATGGAATTCTTACATAGCCATATCGTAAACACAGTCGTAAACGAAGTTGGATTGAACTGTTCCTAATCATCAGTGAATTGTGAGAAGCACAGTGACATACCTTTCAACTCATATTTCTGGAGCTGAAGTGAATTTGCATAATAAAAAGTTGCTTGTCGTGTACGATTGATAGAAAGTTGCTTCCTTATCGTAAAGCCAAACGTAAACGCTCTTACTTTGTAAGGATTATGTTAATTTTATTAACAGTTAAATTTTGAGTTGAACTTCCTTTCCTATCGATTCTTAATTTCAACTTACCACTTCCGGCCAGAACGTAGTTTTAGAATCACGTCTGAATGCTAATGAGGAAGAGCTGTATATAACCGCGAAGTTCTACAGTCTTAGCGAGAGAGATAACAGATACTCTGACTGCACGCGTCCGCCTTTTTAGGCTACTCTCTCGTAAGCTATTATTACGCTCGGCCGTACTTTAGGCCCTTGATAGCTTCGCAGTTTAATTAGCGTTAAGGGGCCAACTCTGTTAGAATTTTGATAGCTTCGGTTATATCATTTAGTTAAGATTAGTTTAGTTTAATTCTTAGTTTCTTAAATTCAGGTATTCGCTTATCAGTTCTTAAGATTCTTCATTTCCAACAGTAACTTAGAATTACAAAGTGGAGAATCCTACAACTTTCAAGCACTTCTATTACAATAGTAATATTTTCTTTTAATAGAACATTACGTGAATATTGCATAAATAAATTAGATACGCGCTTTTTTTCACGCAGCATCACAAGTGAGAATTGCTTTCAGATTTTCTATTTCCTGCATACTATTAGACAGAGGACTTTGTTTTCAAATATTGATATATTCATGCACTGATAATTTCGAGCGCATTATAATAAACATGCCGTACGAGAGAACAAAAGAACCGAAGCAGAATATCAGAAAACCCTTTTATTGAACATCGTAACCATGGCAATGGATTAGTTATTTTTTATCTCACCTTGGTACACAATACGAACTATCAAGTATAAAGCTGCGTAAAGTGTGGCAAAGAATCTGGGATTTTAATCCAAGGTGAGAATTAACACGGACATAGGAAAATAAAAAAGCATAATTTACATTATCTTCAGATCGTGATAATATTACAATGTTGTGGCATAAAAGATGAAAGTATTCGTGCAGTACTTCTTCGCTAAGCATTATAAACTACATCTTTTTATGGCTGTTTCCCCTTTGTTTAATTAATAACTGAATGGAACACTTTTCTTGATTTTAATTTAAATTAGTTAAAGTTGAAATCAGTTAGTTTTAATTAGTTTAAATCAATTATAAATTAGTGAAATTATTTCACTTGAATATACATTTATATATGTGATGTTAATTTGTATTTATAACCGTATTAAAAGCTATCACTTTCAAATATTCGTAAAAAAGGCAGAAATCTGTAAATAAAAAATATACAGATTTTCAGCATTTCATTCCTTTCTCCTCAGTTGTCCTAGTGGTATAATAAAAGATTTGTTCTTTTAATCTCGTTTCTGTGAGTTTACTTTTTGTTTTATTTTTGTAAATTTTAATACAGAAACTTACAGCTTTTTTTTTTTTCAATAATGTAATTAATGGCGTTTTTATACTTGCAAGAGTTAAAACATTATCTCGCAGGTACTACGATATTATTTCTGTTTCACTGATAGGTGGGAGTTACGGTAGTGTTAATAAAGTACCTACTCCAGTCAAGTTAACCCTTGGAACAAAGTGGATTGTGAACGCACTGTACGCTTATATAAACGCTATCCAGGAAATTCAATATATTTCATGGATTTCTTTTTCAGGAAATATATTGCAATATTTACTGTAGATTTTCGACGGTAGGAAAAATCGCAGACAAATCGTATAGGTTAGAAAAATCGAACAAATTACGGAATAGTTCAGTATGTTAGAAATCCGAAAAATACATCTGTAAATGTACATTTTATTATTTATTACCACCAAATACACGCAAATTTATTAATGCAAACTTTCTGTTTTTGATATTTAACGTATAACAGCGTCAGAAAAAACATCACTGTTGTAGGTACTGGCATACTTAGGAGTTATGACGCAAACGGAAGACAGAGATATCGATAAGTACTGTAAATATATTCAATTTCTTAATAATTTCAATAGTAAATTTTTTCCTCTATTTATATTATTGAAAGAATGTAGAATAAAATGCATATAATATTACAAAATATGTTCTTATTAACTGCTGATGGTATCCGTAAATTTTCCATCATTGAGAGGCGTTTAGAAACTACGGATTTCAGAGAATTGTAAATTTCAATGCCTCGAGCTCCTCATTTAGAATTTTTAACGAAGTATTTTCGAACGAACACATATCATAACAAAGACATATCGTCTTTAATTACATTGCATAATCGGTGATCAAATTCATATAATAACCATAAAATTTATGAATGGTTTTCAATGCATGGCTATTTGTTTTCCAGCTAGGTATAATAAAGTACTTATGGTATGTCAGATAATTATGTACAATGCTGACGTACTACAAAAATTATTATTATAACTGCTTTCATTCTATATTGTTATTTATTCAATTACGTAGAGTCCTGATTAGCTAACCATCAGTTATCTGAAACATCGTTAAAAGTTATATTATTAATTTAGTTGTAAAGTCATTAGGTTATATCGATGCAGGAAGGTGAAAAATGTGCAAAGCTATCGCTGGGATTTGAACTCCGGACCTCCCGAATATGCGTCGAGCGTGCTTCCAGTTACGTTACTGCGATGCGCGTTTGATTCAAGATGTATTGTCTGTATTGCTTTCATGTGAGTTACAAATCTGAAAACAGAAACCCTAATTATTATCACTAATTAACCATTAACCTAAATACGATACCAACTTTTTTAAAATGAATTTGTTGAATTTAGTAGAACACATATTAATGGCGTCCTTAAATACACATTCCAATATATTTCTTTTCTGTTGCACGAATATGATGTCATCATAGACCTAACTTTATTTTCTATAGCAATAAATATTGTGGACATGTAAAGATAACATTGCATCAGAAGATGTTGATGTGTATTAATTATGTTCATATTGTAATGTCTCAAGCTTGTAATAAAATATGCTTTCTTTTTCAGCGGTCTGCATTAATAATCAATGGTTTGTAATTCCTTATTATTCGACATTACAGATTACCCTACTACGACCACGTATGTCGAGTAATCGATAATTTGCTGTAATTCGTCAACTTACAATATTTAAATTTCGCATCCATTTAAAATTCATTTTTTATTAGTAGAAAGCTTTGATTTGAATTTTTGTGAGTAATCAGCCTGTCAGTATAATATGCAAGCCTACTATCACTCTAAGTACCCTTATCTTTCGATTATTACTAACATCATATAAAAAGAAATGTTTTAAGTATCATTATAAAAGAAATTTTTGAAATCTTTAGATTAAAAACGTTTTATTATAAATAGTTTTGGCAGCCGTTTTATTATCTGTGTCTTCCAGTGCTTTATTGACATTACATTTTATAATGTATTTATATTTTTGATAATTACGTAGAGTTTAATACAAAACGCTTTCGCTATAAATTAAATACTAAATATTAATTATATAAGTATTAATCACTGTAAAATTATAATTATATTAATTATATAGTTAATAATAATCATAATATACAATTAATCATATAAAATTTATATAATTTATAATAATAATTACTTGATAATTATGTAGAGTTTAATATAAAAGCTTTGGCTATTAATTGTTTTACTTAACTGAACTATCTATTAATTTTGAAAATATATCGGCTGTTAAGTTTTGAAAAATGTCACGCGTAAACATTCAGCTGCAAAAGAATAACACTGCCTAATCCTTATCACTCGGAGATTGAAAATTGGGCGTATTTTGGTTAATAATTCATTAAAAAAATCGCACTACTTACCAATTTCAGCTATTGCTAAACATCCTAATGAATGTAGGAGGACACACAGCATCGTAATGTAATTAACTAAATATGATTCCATGTCAAAGCGGAAAAGAAAATTGTAACAAAACAATCTATCATAAGGGGAAGCTACCACTTTTGAACTGTGTGCGGCAAACAGAACCGATTCTTTTTTAGCTTTTTTATTATCAGACTGTGGGGAAACGATGGCAGTTATCAGCAAGTCGAATTATGTTACATTCTATTCGCAATACTGGGACCGAAATATATATCATTTGATTAACACTTTCTTATCGTTATTTCGTATTATTAATTTCGTATGTTACTTTTTTATTTTCAAACTAAGAAGAGATCCAAGTCAGAATTTTTGCAACCAGTGCTGGACATACTCCTAAGTACAATTTATTTGAATATAGTTATATGAAGTTTGTTTAGAATTATTATTGCACTAAAATCCTCTTAACCAAAAACCCACTTAAGCGAAACGGGTTAAAAATTTAACGTTGATTCCATTGTGAGTCCCAAAACAATATACATGAACATTTCTAGATAAATTTTTTGATGTCGCATTATTTAGAAGTATATATTTTATTTCTAAAAGAAGTGACCTCGGTATGACATCCGCAAAAACAGCGAACTGTGAAATCTTTGTCTAACAGATTCATTTCAGACACCTTCATTCTTTAACGGATCACCTCAATTAAAATTTGCTTTTCACGAAAAGTGTTTCGTAAAAGTGAATAAACTGCCCCAAACATCAGAGATTTCAATTAATTATGTATAAAAAATAACACTACATTCCAAGTAAATTTTTAATATTCTTTAAAATTTTTTAATAAAATTATATTGAGATTGAAAGTATTCCGGAAGACATTTTTTCATGCACTTTAAAATTTTCATTTTATAATACTGTAATTAAATTACGACCGCGCATTAAATTTGTATCAGATATTTTTTTATCTATGCGATATGGCTCTAATAACAGTTTCCCTTATAAGTAAAAAGTCATATTCATATATACATCATAAAAAGGCATTAATGTATGTGATTGAAATAAAACGTTTAAAACAGAAAATTTCTAAAGTTTATTTTATTGAAAGTAGCATTATTGTCAAAACTAATTTTTTTTAAAGAAATAAGACCCTTTTTCTACTAACACAGACTTAAGTACGACGTGCACTTTGATTAATTCAGTTGACCAAAGTTCTAATACATATTATTTTCTAGTGCTAGACAAAAAGTAAACTTGCTGCTTTCATGCTATCTCTTGATACAATTTTTCATACTTATAAGAATTTCCTCAAATGAGTTACCGTGCTTTACTCTTAAAATACTTCTAACTAAAAGATCGAAAGCAGTTTTTAAGAATATACATGATAGCACAGCAGTCGTTCTGCTCTTAATATTTTCTTAACATTACACTAATATTACACTAATAATGGTTATTTATATTGATTCGTCTATGAAGATGCTTTTTGCGGTCTTTTCCTAAGAAATAAAATTTTGTAAAAGTTGCTGTATTATTATTTCGCTTTTCTGTACGTATTAAAATGGGCAAACCCTGGCTTCTTTGTTTAGTTGAAACATTTTTCTGGAGGCTGGGACACAGATATCCCGCACTCTCGTTGCTTTAAAAGGGAACCAAGAAATTTCAGTAAACTATAGGGATTTAAAATTGGAATATGGAGTAGGAAGTGCAGTATTATTTTTCTGCGAAGATTGCAAGTCATGTACGTATCGTAGAAATCTTAACAATACTTTATTAGCAAATGTAATGCGTGAAAATCCGCTTTCTATAGTCTATATCAGCAATGTTCTAATTTCTCGAGTTTATTTTTTTATAATTTTATAGTGAGGAAATTCAAAACTCTGAAGCAGAAATGCATTATAAAACAAAAAACAGGGGGCTATAAAACAAGCATACGTGTAACATAAAATTTTAATTTTTAATTTTTCAAACCTTTTCCTTTTTCTTTTAAATGCGCAAAGCGAACGGCACTGCATTATTGAAATAACTGAAAGATAATATAGAGGGTATTTATTTCACGAATCTGCTTGATCCACATGACTGCAGTCCTATGACATTATGAACTACGAACGTTTACGAATTTACATAAATTTACTTACATAAATTCCTTACGAACAGGATAAAAATCGTATATAATATATGTGCGCGCGCGTGTGTGTAGAGATAAAAAAATTGAAGAATATTTAATTAAATAAATGCTATTAATTTCGAGTAACATTTTGCAAAATTGATTAATTACATAAGAAAGAGGTCAAATATATGGAACATATATCCACCCAAAGTAGTAAACTAGCTAACTGGAAGGCACAAATTAGAAACAATGTGAAGTAAAAACATGGAACTAAAAGATAAACCCGAAATAAAAGTAATTTAATGTAAAATAAAATTAAATAATTGTTGGTAATTCTTTCATTTTTTTTTCAAGTAACAGCCGAAAAGGTTATCAGCAAAATATTGCAAAAGAAAGATAATCAGCTGAAATTCTCTTACAAATTTAAAACAAGTGTAAGCAAATGAGAATAAATTTAAACAGAATTTATATTTTTTTAGAAAATTTAAATAATTTATATTGCTTTTATTTTGAATTTTTTACCTGACTGATTGACACGCCATTGGACTCGAGTTCGAATCCCGGACAATACATGATTGCTTGCGACTATACTATTAGCGTCTTTGCGGTATAGGGGTGCTTTAAATCTGTGGGATCCGAAGCTCATCTCTGGAAGTTGTTTGTAAAGAAAGTGGGATGCAGGATCCTAAGATTCCATTCTCTCCGGTGTTCTCGGTTAAAATTGGGATGGAGATCAGGCATGCAGCATTCGCATGTTTTGCCTTACTTAAATAATTCAATCTAATCCTGAAAAATATCCCTTAATTTCAGCAAATAATTCTAGATCTCAACTCAGGCAATATCCATATGGTGGGATATTTTCTTGGTGCATAAAATTAAACATAGGGAAGTAGTTCTAGAGGTAAAAAACAAACTCATTTTAAAATTTAATACAAGTAGGTTTCATGTAGAATCCTTTGCAAAATATTACATGTAATTTACATTACTCCAATCTGAAAATTTTATTTTTTATCCAATTTAAATTTTATTTTTTTATCCAATCTGAAAATTTGCTTATTTTATAGCTGCATACGACCTACCAAAATATAACGGATTAGTTTTGTGATGGTATTAGAAGATATTTTATTGTCAGTATGCATTCTGGATGTGACCAATTGAGTAAAGTCGATATCCATGCAAGGCAGTTGGATATCGCTTTGTCCGAGTAATAATAACCGGGCAAATGTAGCTATTAAGCTCACGGTAACAATTTTAGTAGACTACTCAGGTACTTTAGGATATGAAAAAAAGGTTGCTTGAAAATTGAGTGAATCGTGAACTGAAAAAAAAATCTAGTAAATGTTCCTTGCGCGTAATAACTTTCATTGGAGGAATACGTCTAAAATATCTTTTTCTTTCTTCTTTAAACAAGGAAATATAATATCTTTCTTAATGATCTCTAGACCACCGATTAGTTTCATTCTGATAGCTGATAAGGATGTTTAAGAGAATCACGTGATCTTTTCCCCTTAAAAGAGCTGTTAATGTTTCCTTCATAATTTTCGAAGAAATCTGTGGAGTGTGTCACTGCAATATTTCTTGGTGTTTAGCCTATTGTTGCGGTACTTTTGCCTATAGTTTTTCGATTGCTATGAAATCATTTAATTGACTTAACAGTCTGTAAGCTCCAATAATCGAAGAATTTCTGTCTTAATTATAATCTAAAAAACATTCAAACTATAAAGTTAACAGCCCATTTCCAGAGTTACGTAACTTTCACATTAAAAATACTAAAAATCTCACTCATACGCACAAAAACACTCAAAAAATGAAAATTTCGTATTTATTTGCAAAGGAGTAAAATAAAAATAGATAAGGAATACAAATCACTGTTATTCGAAACTGATTTAATGAAATAATCTACCGCAGTAATATGACATCCCCCCAAATAATCGAAAGATAGCATCATTGTGTTCTCAATATTAATTTTCTTTGGATCTTTGTTTTCTACTTGGAACTGCCATCTTAGATGTTCATTAAAATATCTGTCGGCATCTACGCTATGAATGTTATTACGAAGGATTTGGATAGCTACCTTTAAGAAGTGTTTTTTGACAGAATTTGTAGCACATCATTACATGCACTAAGTGCCTTGACTAACCACTGTAAGAAGTTGTTTCTGAAAATCATTATATCCATCAATAAGTTTGTCTTTGGAATGGCTTTTAAAAATCGTGGTTTCGAGAATTTTTCCAATAATAAATTTGCCTTCAAAGCTGATATAGGGATACTCATGGCTACAGACGGACAAAATAACTTGCTAACTTTATTTATTAACAAAAATAACTTTATTACATTGGGTAGCATGTGTAGGGTCATTTATTGCTTTGGATAGCATGGTGTAGAGTCAATTTATTGAAAATATTCTCTGTCGCTGTCATCTACATCATATTGCGTTTTTGATCAACTTCACGTTTCTCGTTTGTCAAAATACATCCTGCCTTATTCGCAAAATAATCACCTAAGTTCTAAACCAGTTTTATATTTTGGACAGAATTTAGAAACGAAAGATATTTGAACCCGTACGAGATAGAATTTAATTTTCAAAACATTTCTTTAGAAAACTAGTATTCGAATTGTCATCTCATATTCTTCGAGATTATTTATTCCTATAAATAAATGATAGCTTCAAACCAAGAACAAATTTAGCTCGAAAAATTCAAAAATAATATTTCACTTTTAATTGCTAATTTTGGTAAATTTCACATTTAATCGTTAATACCGGTAAACTCATAGTTATTTGCATATATTTCATATGTATGAAAATTACGTATCTCTACGCATTATACTAAGCGGATTAAAATAACGCAGCGTGAGGAAAATTTTCTAAATCCAAGACAAATCATTCTTTTGATGCTCTGATGTAAATACATTCTTAGAGATTTCAAAACAAAGTTCCATGAATTTAGCGGCTAATGTATGGGGTTCTTGTAGTCAGTCAGTCAAAAAGACCACTGTCACAGTACGGCAATCTTATTCCATTTTTCTTTTCCATTTTTTTCTCAGTGATCCATACTGGCGGTCTAGGTTCTAAAATTTATCGGGTTT